GTGTTAGAAGAGTGTTAAAATACTCACAGCTGAGCCATTCTCACTTTGCATATGCATCCTTCACCTTTTCCCTTTCAGTGTTTATTATGATTAAGTCTTTCCTGTTTTCCTTTGTATATTTCCCTTATTCATGCAGATGAATGTTCGTTTTTTTACTGACACATCAATATGTATGCCACAGACATCATTTCTATTATGCATCTGTCTTCCCAGCAGAAAAGGCATATTTCTCAGGTTGTGGAGTACAACCCAGCATTCAGAGCTAAAACTGGCTAAAGAACTGATCTTTAAACCTGTGGCTGTTCTCCCTGCTTATAATGCTGTTACAGTCCTACCTAGAAAAAAAAAAAAAACACTGCTGAGCTTTCTCCCAGATGAGGTATCTCCAGAAAGCATGTGTGTGCCAGAGTTAGTGAGCTGGACAGAGGAGGCTGTGTTGTCTTCTGGCATGGCTCTCCTTACTTAAGATTTGTGTGTCCTTGTTGCAAAGAGCGAGGCTGTGCATCAACTGTGCGAGCATCCTGAGAGCACTCTTCAGGGTTTGTGCTGGGGTCAGGGCAAAGCACTTGTATCTTTCAACAGAGAGGAAGACAAAGGCCTAAATTCATTGTTTTCAACATCAATGCACATCTACATATACCACAGTACCAGCTGTTTCTTTTCTCTTCACCTCTTAGCTCTCCCCTCTTAATTTCCCTTTCTGTCATCTGAACTAAAAATACTCTCCAAAAGTTCATTTGGTCTCTGGTCCCAGCATCCCCGCATGAAGTTTCACCCCATCATCCCTGCTCTTTCAGAATATCCCACCCTGCTGACACATAGGTTCAAATCCTATCAAACGCAAAAATCAGATTTCCTTCAGACACCTGATGCATCCTCTTTCCCCTGCAGCACTGAGCAGTCCTGCTCTGAATTCTGCATCTTATCTAACACTTACAGATTTTGAAAGAGAAAGCCTACCTTGAAAAGACTTTCTTTACCCCAAAGCCTTAGTGGATATCAAGCCTTCACTGAACAAAGCCCTGAGCATCCTGGTATGATCTCATAATTAACCTGGTTTGAAGGCCTCTAGAGGTCTCCCATCTGACCTGGATTATTGCTTCTGTAAGCTTACCAACCAATGAGTGAGAACACCCACAGATGATGATGGCAGAAAAATGATGGCCAAGAGACAGAATTCCTGGACATCTTCTGTTCATGATTTCTCCCCTTTGTGGTGGGACACCACCATAAAAATGACCAAGTAGATCACCTGGTTTTCATGACCATTCTTCTCAGTGCTGAGCCCAAGCATCATATGGGACACTACCAGGTTTTCGTAATCCAGTCTGGACCACTTTCAACAGGCACCTTTTCCCCAGCCTCCTGGACGCCAAGTCAGGATACACAGGAATCCTTGAAATATGCTGGATTTCCTTGTGTGTTCAGGTTAGCTGCTTCCAGGAGAGCATGACCAAAACAGAGCACTTGATGGCCCTGCTGGGAATTGCCCAACAGGGCTGGACAGATAACCACTTTCCTGTCTCCACCTCCTGGGACACAAACTTGGAGCTGAGATGTGGCAAGAGAAACATCCCTTGCAGCCAAGGAAATCACACCACTGAAAATGCTCTTGTATCCTCAAGTGCTTATGGCAGATGTCCACCAGAGGAAGCTGAGGTACAGAAAGCCCAAGACCCAGTCGGATTTCTGAGTGACGAAATCTCCCCTCTTTGTTCCTATGGTATTAAGGGAAGTGGGACTCAGAGTACACCCACTGTAAAGACCTGCCCATGACAAAGCAACTCCTGAATTCATCACCTGCTTTTTTTTAATCCTTATGGCAGCAGTTCAGCAGATCCTGGAGATCAGATAACTACTTGCGCTGAGAAGCAGCTAGGCTAACAGTCTGTTTTATACCACTTCAAAACAGTCTTGAGCTCCATTTTCCTGTGTGTGCATTCCCTACAGCATTCCTGATACTGCAGTTGTTTATTTGATGGCTTTATTGTCATGGCTGTCATTCAAACTCTAGCCTGAAGTCTGCTAAGAAGCCAGGAAGAAGGGAACTAGAGGGTTTCCTTACCAGGTGTCAAATGACAATTAAAATACATCCTATTTAAACTGGGTTAGAAGAAAGGGACATTATTGAATACTTAGGAAGCTTACACTGGAAGAATGTAAGGACTTTGTATATGCATGTATGCGCACTTTGATGGATTTATTGCTGTTTAGATCATTATACAGCATGTTGCCTGAAACAAATGTGCTATTAGTGCCTGTTTCTCAGGCTAAACTTGCGTTTGTCTGTTGTATCTTGTTACCAAAATAGCCAGCAGTACACCTGGTCACCCAGAAAATTTGGCAGTATGATACAGCAGCAAAAAAAGAAGGACACAAAACAACCTTCAGTTTGTATTGTGACTTTAATTTTTGCACTGCTTCAGTGTAAGAAGCCCAAAGACGGTAGGCGCAACTGCCTACTGAAGATGTATTTTCCAGCAAGGTCTCTGGTACCTGTGTGATTTCCTGGTTTATGTATACAACTGCTCACATGGAAACAGCATTCTGTGCAGAGCAGTTCTGTTACCTCACATATCCCATTAGCATTTCCTCGGCCTTCAAGCATAGAGATTAGAGTCGTAAACTTTAGTGAAAAGGAATAAAGTAACCTCCTGTGGGTAATAACGCTTGGTAAATGATCCCCATGCTATATAACAGAGTGCATTCTAGCTAAACACATCTGAATGATCCCTATTTCTCCTGCTGCTGCTAGGGATCCAGCATTTTGCCTGCAGGACCAGATCAGTCTCAGTAATGCCTTGGAGTTCTTAGTCTGCCTGCAATGATTTCAGTGGAAGAAGAGCAATGTGGACCTACAGCACAAATTTGTATGCATTCTAGGAACTCTGTCCCTAAGAGCCCTACCATGTCTTTCATAGTGGCAACTCTGAATCAATTCTTTTCCTCTTTAGCAAGTTGCTGATATTACTGACTCTAGAAGGTTTAAAAAAATTAAAAAAAAAGAAAAAAAAGTTTCCAGAATAGGAAAATCTAATATATCCAAATTTTTTTTAGTGGCAACAGTAGTCTGGCATGAATGCAGCAGGAACTGTGGAAGTGGACTGGGAGCAAAGGTTAAGAGGAACACAGACAAGTAGGAAAAAAAAAAAGAAAAAAGAAAAAAAGAAAAAAAAAAAGAAAAAAAAAGCAGATATCCAGAAAGTAAGAAATTATAAATCCACACAATGGCAAAATTTTCCTTTCACAGTTTTGAGCCAGTGCACAAAATCTGCATTTATGATCACCTCTGATTGCAAGAAGTCTAACAAACATTTGCAGCGCTACTCACAGCAAATGAGTTGCCTTACTCCACGTGTGCCCTCAGTGTTTTCATTGTCATAACAGACGAACCCATGTCCAGCTCATCTGAAAGAATTTTTCACGTGAATTTTGTTGTTGCTGACTTCTGTGCATTGCCATTTTCCAGTCTCTTCCTGGGTCATGTGTCTAGCAACATGCACCAGGCTGCACAATATGTATCCCGAACGTGCTGCTGAGTAATTCACTGGGAAGAAAAGAGACACACTACCAAAACCCCACTCACCCAGCTCCACGACATAATTTTATCAGAACATAATAATTCAAATGTCTTTGTCAGCAAGATATAAATGTGCATGGATCTACTCATCAGCCCGAGGGACACGGGAGAAAATGGAACCACCTTTCTGTTGACTTCTAAATTCATTAAGTAGGAGCATGGCAATCTCTGACCTCGGTGGCAAATGATTTTTTCGCTTAAATTTAAAAATATTTCCTGGGAAGGAAAATTGAGATGAAAGAGTACTTTTGAAAACTTTCTCCCTGCAGTATTCCCTGTACCAACTTCCTCTATCTCACTAGAATGAAACATTAGCTTTTTTTAAGCATTTTATATTAACTTGGAGAAAGCATTAGGTGGATTGGGACTGCAGTTTCTAACAGTATTTACATTTGGGCACATGAATTTTGTAAGCAACCCAAGCTATTGAGCTCCTGAAAGGAGTAATCCTTCCCTGCCTCCCAGCTCACTGTGCACAGTCACCTTCTCCTTGCCCTCTGCCTTCTGATTAAACAAGCATTAATGAAGCCCTGTGCTGAACAGAGATGGAGAAGAGCAAAAAATTGTCCCTTTGTTCATTAGTTTCGAAAATTGAGAAAATAGGAACAATGATGAGCTTAAAAATAGAAAGAATATAACTGAATAATACTGGTATAAATCATGGCAAGAAAAGCAGGTTTAAGTTAAAGTAATGGAGAATCTGACCTTGTGTTTTTGTGCTTAAAGAATATCCCAAATCAGTATGAACTGCATCTTCAGAAGTGAGTGTTGTTAGATCTCACCAAGTTCAACAAGCCTGTTTGCCACCTAGAAGAATAACACTGTTCTCTGGGTATTTTATTATGTGTAGCAGTATGTTACTGTACCATCCAGTAACAGTAGGAAGCATGGATGGAGATCCAAGGCTTTTAGCTACCGTAGAAGAAAGCTCCAGCCAACCAGAATTATTAAGGAAATTGGGTGATGCATTTGCTCCTAAAAAATTCCTAATACAGCCAGTTGTCTGCCAGCTTCCAAAAGCTATTTCCACTTCCATTGTCTGTAGTACAGCAGCACTCGGAGCAGCATTCCTCTAATCATTACTGCATTTCTACAGTTATATTCAATACTCTGCTTTCTACAATGGAAGTGCATGTCTGAGAGATGTTAAAGGAATTGGGATGAAGGTGTACTTTTAGTTAACCTACACTTTTTTTGCAAAAGTTTGTATAAGAAAATTATGTTTTTTGCCTTGAGTATATGCTTTATAAATAATTCATGTCCATTCACGCACTAGTAAGTAAGATGTGAATAGCAAGTATAGAAGTATTCCTTATGACACTTGAAATTCTAATTACTACCTTGGTGACTTTATCTCACTGAAATGTCTTTCATAAGCTTTATTTTTCTGTGTATATGTATGTCTGTGTGTCTTCCACAGGTTGGAACAAGAAATACAGAAATTAGAAAGTGAGGAATCTCAAATATCTGCCAAAGAACAAATCATTTTGGAGAAACTAAAGGAGACTGAGAAGTCCTTCGACAACTTGCAAAAGGTATTTAAAAAAAAAAAAAAACATTGGACATAGACTGAAACTGAGACTCTTAGCACTATTCCAAAATAGCAGCTATAATTCATGCATTTACAGGAAGGTTGAGGGCAGTCGCAGAGCATTTATTTCAAACCAGGATGACCAAAAGCAGCAAAGATACAGAGGTGTCAGATCTATTTTGGTTTGGACTATTTGGATTTCCCCTCTCCATTCCAGCCTTTTCAAGAAGGAGATTTAGTACTCTATCTCATAGCTTATCTGCATGTGAGCTTTTGGAACCCAGTGAAAGATGTCAGGATGCCTGGAAGGAATCTCAAGCTTCCCCCTCTTAGTAGCACCCAAAAATAGCATCATTTGACATAAATGCCACTTTTGAATGATGCTGCCTATGAAAAACAGCAAGAGTTCTCCTTTCTGTTACAAACGTGTCCCGCCTCCTTGGCCTTTAACTGCACCTAGACCTGAGGAGCCAAAGACCCAGTTACCCATGTAAAAGTGACAAAGAACCATAAAAGCAACCCTAAAAAGTTTTAACCAGTCTTCTTTCTTTTTTCTCTTCACAGACTTTCTCACACCAGGATGGTGGTAAGTGCCTTTTTACTACTGTTTATCTTTGAGTTTAACAAACGTTACATAGCTGTGTTGCAAAAGTTTACAGAGTGAGGATTCTTCCATTCATTGCGTGATTCTGATTTAATGCTAGAGCCATTACCTTTTTCTTTGATGTTGTTGTAGTGCAAGCACAAATGTCACTGTTTCTGTGGGGCAGCATTCCTTTGGTAGGGCTCCAGCGACTGCTATGTACATACTAGGAAAAATAAAATAAGGGATGTCTTAAAACAGTCATTGATCAAGACATCCAGATGTCTTCCAAGTTACTGACCTCTTCCACAACACGGCAGCCCAACAGTGCAGATTCCTTTTCACCTGCTCAGTGATCTATGCTCCCCCTTCATGAGCTCATACTATTAACAAACTGCTAAATACAATGTGGACTACTCCTAATTTACAGCAACAATCTGCTTTTGATTAAAATTGGATTACTTCTCTGACGAAAGACATTCTATCTGTGACTACTGTCATTGAAGGAAAGCCTTGCGTAGGTGAATGAGGATGCAATAATTCCTAGTTTATGAGCTCAATGTGACAAGATATGTGGTCAATCTAAATACTGGTATTCAAATGCAGGTGTCTGGGTGAACAAAACATACAGTTTGTTGCAAAAAGTCTTGCTGTGCACCTCCACGACCATAGGACCCAGGAAGGACAGCACATTGATCCATCTGCAGATAACTCTGTACTCCAGACACAGGTTCCCAGCAACCAACTTCAAACTGATAAGATGCAAATTTCTAGTTCCTCCAGTTTTTTTTTCTTTCCTGAAGCTTTTGAAGTTGTCTATCACAAAGTAAATAAATATTCAAAATGGCAAATATATTGTACCTGTGCAGAGTGATAAGTTTCCTAAGCAGGAATCAGTGCTTGCAGGTATTAGCACATAATATAGCACCTAACACATGCAGCAACCTTCAGGACTCCTGCAAGGCATGGTCTGCATTTTCATGAGTGATACGATAAAACTTGAGTCAAACAAAACTCCACATAGCAAATGTGAGGCAATAGTTTCCCCTAAAGCTTTTTCTTGTAGCAGTACTCTTGCATCTGCAGTACTTTGTTCAACCTCACCATGCTCAAGATTTGGCCTGATCTCAGCACATTATTCCTTCACAGACTGAGCCAGAAGCAAACATAGCTTGTGATGTCTGTAGGCCTAACAGGTAACAGTAAAACTATGTAAATGGCAACAGGTTGCTCACAGAAACCTTATGTGACCAGAGGAGGGAGGGGATTTAGATAAGTTAATGGGTACCCCTTCTGAGGGCTTGGTTTACCTGCCTTACCTCATCCTCTTGATAGCTGGTCATCCTCTAGGCAGTTTTGTGAAGCAGCTGCACTCTGAGGCTCTAGAAATGTTCAGGATTGTGAGCCATCACACTGACACAGGTCTGCCTCCCATTGCGGGCATGGTATGGCTGTGCATGCCTGTATGGATAAAGGTCTGTTTTCTGCTGCCCAACAGCGGTCTGTGTTGGCAGCTGATCACAGAAAGAAGAGTTTATGTATATTGCTAGCTGTGAGCAGTTCAATAACGTAGGTTTGTCCACCTTTCAAATACACATGCGACTTCTTTTATTGAGGCAGATCATTCACTTGTCAACTGTATAATGTATGTTGCAGAGGAAAATGATAGGAACCATTTCATTTTACAGCAAAGCTATGTAAAAACATACAGAGTCAGTACTTACACCAATTGCTACCTATGTTGGCAGACCATTCAACTGATGCCTGGAAGACTGAGCTCATATATCTCGTGTTAGTTCACAGAATACATACTTCCCTTTATTCCAAATGTAGTGACGATGTAGAAAGTGATTTACCTCACCAATTACCTCTACGTGCTTCTGTGCCATGTATGTGGCGTTGACATAGCTTTTGCTTATGTAAAAAAAACTGAGCAGAGAGCTCAGAGCCCAGAGAAATACAGAGGGAGATGAGGGGAGAGAAGAGGTGGTAGACAGTGATGGTCAACCCAGTGGCTCGGTATCCTTCCTGAGTGACTGTTTTGGCAGTGACCACCTATGAACCTGAAGTCATCCAGACACAATAAACGCGAATCCCACATTTCCAGGGTACAAACATATTTTGCCATTATAGATTGCCACACAAAATAAAGCTGAGCAGAAACTAAGGTTCTGCCAGTGGTTCTGTACTCTGCAGTCAACCTTCTGCCAGCCTATGGTGCCCTAGGCCCACAGGAGAAGCTCTCCAGTTAAACAAGACCTGAGATAACACTAGGGATGGTGTCATTTATTGCTTTCCATGTCTACAGGCAAAACCAGGAACTCTGTAGTATTGTTCTGCATGCCTAGTGTGAACAAATAGAAAAGAGAGTGCTCACACTCCATGTGTGCATATGTTTGTGACTCAGTGTATGCATAAACTAAAAGCCCCATTAAGATCCAACATGACTCTGTTGACTCTTTGCCCTGGGGTAAATTCATTCCCTGCAGCCTTAAGTCATCAGAATGCAAACTGCAGTCTGCTACTTCAGTGAACAGGCAAAAGCCATAGCTGCAGCAACTCTACAGTTTGCATGAGCTGTTTGAATCTTGTGTATGTTAACATGTGCTTGACAACACTGTGACTGAAAACCTGATGTGGATGGTTTGATTCCCAGCTGCTGGCTTAGCAACCCATCTAGCTTCCTCTGCTTCAATCTGGATTGACACACAGCCACCTGCTGTGAGCCATGTTCCTGATCTTACAAGTGTGGCAGGGGCTCATCATCTTTGTTCACCCTGCCATAATGCTCTGCAGAACTAGATGGCTTCACAGGGGAACAGCTCTGTCCTGAGTGCCAGTGTGCATGGCAGAACTCAGGCACCCAGTTTGTTGGTAGTTAGACATTTTAAAATAAATCAAGCTCTTGGAAAACGAGCTCACCGTGAGCTACTTTGAGCAGCCCCAAAGGTTTTGTGTAAGCACCCTTGAAAGATTACCAGGCCCTATATGTGTTCTCAGTCACTTCAGTAGTCTGATAATACAGAGAAGTGCCATAATCCTAAAATGTACCTTGTTGTAAATAGTATGAAAAGCCACAGGGCATGTTTTATGGCATTCTTAGATATTAATAGATCATCAAAGGTTGAAATGGACCTACTGAATGGAGTCAGTTCAAATGCTTTAATTTATGACCTGTCTAAATTCTTATGTGAACAAAATGCTAATTGTGTCTCAGCTGCTCCTTGTAAAATTGCTCTCATATTGATTTTAGACCTTGTTGACAGAGAAACAAAGGGAAATAAGCTCTTTTTGTCCAGGGTCGGGTGGGGGGGAGCTGTCACAGAAACAGCCAAAACAAATCAAACCAAATATCCCAGTCTCTCTGATATCCCTCTGATACACGTCCCCCCCACTACAACTTTCCCACTCTCTGGTAACTGGAGATTGTCTGGAGTCCTTGAACAACATTTTAAAGTACTTTATTATATGTTTCTAAGCTGAGTCAATACTAGCAGCAACTGAAAGACATTGCCTTCTAACACAAGAGGCCAAAAAGTCAATACCTTACTAAAGTCCATAGACATGCAAGCATCACAGTGAGAAGTGCTTGGCCTACTGCTGGACAACAGCAGTGCTAAATGATAGGATGTGCTGACAACACCCATACATGGACAGACAAGTCTGTCACTCAGGTCATTGGATGAGTGTGCAATGAAACTGCTGTTCCAGCATCACACTCGGTGGGGTAAATAATTACTAAATTTCTGCCATTTCCAGAATACAAAGTGCCTTCTCGTTATGGCCCAGAAGCAGTCTCAACATTTCTTACTTCTGAGAAATTACTTCAGTTTTCAATGCTAGCCTGCTCATTTGCTGGTGATGTTTCACAGAATAACAACAGAGAGCATTGCACCAATTTCTCACCAGAGGCAAGACACCCTACAAAAGAAAGCAGCTGTTACTGGCCACTGTTCAGTCAGCTGTGTCCTAAACAATAATTTCTCCTGGACCATATTGCTAAAAAGAAAAAATTAGAAAAAAGAACCTTCAAGGAAACATTGTGCATTGAAAATATAAAGGCTCAGTTGCCAAGACTGCCATTTGTCACTGAAGTGTGAAATAAAGCAGTATTTCCCCAACTGAGTTTTTTGAAATTCATCTGAACTTCGGTAACAACTTCCTGACTTTCCTGAATGAATTTACACTGTGCCTCTTCCTCATCCTATTCTGACACAGGAAACAAAAGACAGAGCAGGTCTCTTTTATAGGATCATAGAATCACAGAATGGTTTGGATTGGAAGGGACCTTTCTTGAGTCATTTCCATTGCTCCAGTGGTGGACTGTCCTCTTCAGGACTGCGATTACTACCTCATCTTATCAAGCAGCTCCAGTGGCCACTGCAGGCTGCTAGGGCATAAAACCATTCCACTCGCAGCAGGCACAGCTGTCCTTCAAAGGAGCAGGTTTGGAGTTAGAGGTAACATGTTAACATGGAGTTAGAGGTGACATGGAGTTAGAGGTGACTCTTATTGGCAGTGCCATCGGGTACAACATGTGTTTCTTGATTTTTTGGGGGCATGGATATTGGCCGACAGGGAACACAGTGAATGTATCTCCACTCACAAGAGAAATGCCGGCAGTGATGTAGCCACCAACATGGAACGTCATTTTCTCTCATCCTTCTCCATTTCACATTCACTGTCTGTATTAATTCTTTGTATTTCACCTGCTCACAAACAAGAGACACTGAGGAAGGCAGATTTTACCTCCTCTCCTCACAGGTGAACCAGGTCATATCAAGGGCGCAGCAGCTTAATTTCACAATGTATCTGCAACATATCCTTGGAGGACAACATATCTTCTGTGTCAGACCAGATGGAATTTCATGTTTGAACAGAAATTTCACCTTTTCCACACAAAATTTTAAAAATTCCCAACTGATAAGAAACTGATTTTTTTTTCCCTGCTTCTTTTGTTTTGGAAGTCAAACTGAAAGTTAGTTACTTGCATATCTCTCCTCAGAGCTCTTTTGATTCAGCCATTGAACCTTAGCAGAAGTTATATTTAACCCAGTCATAAAACTTCTCCCAGTATATGTTTATAAAACATCTTTAATGTCTTTTCTAAAGAATATATTTAGTTTGTGGTAAACAACAGTAAGCAAGTCAGCCTTCCAGCAAGTTCTCTACTTTTCTGAACACTGTTAATGAACAGAGGCACTACAGAGCTGGCAAGAACTTAATAGGTGTTGCAGGGCACAATGGGCACCCTACTAGACTATATCTATATGTTATTTCATTATTAGCTATATTAATATCTCTAAGAACAAAGAGCCAACTGGCAGTTCTATAGTATGCCAACAACCCACACAAAAAGAACTGGCCTTTCATCTCTTTCAGCCAACAACAGCATTTTTAGGCTTTTATATCTCTATGTGAGATGTTTGTTATGCTAGATATTACTCCAGGTTTGTTCCTTGCCCACCCCATCTTTCCCCCCAACACTTCCCATATTTAAAGGTCACAGACTTGATAAATCCAGAACCTCCTGACAAATAATTTTGTGTGTTGAACTTACACAAGGTTTGAGTCATCTGGACCCATTCCCTCCTACCTCAGCTAGTTTACTGAGCACCAATCACACGACTGTGACTTTGCATTTTGTTTGCTTTGATCCAATTATCTAATACAAAGCTCCAGCAACTATTGTCAGGGCTGACAAATTAACACTCTGCTGTCTAAGCAATGAAGCCACTGGGGCTCGAAGCACAAATCTAACTGTTTCCTGTTCTCTGACACCAGATGCAGTAAATTACATTTGCTCCCAGATCCCTGAACTCCCAACCCTCTATTCACGATCACCAGAGCCAGTTCCTGGGCGGGACGGAGCAAGCAGAGTAGCTGGTAAGTCTCAAGGAGCAAAGCTTTATAATACCAATCCAGTAGCCATGAACTCTTCTTTGTTATATTTCCTTAATTGGTCTGGACTCCCGATATCATTTAAATGCCAGGAAATGCTGTTTGATACATATTTTTCAAATAAGTCAAGGCTTTTTAGGCAGCAGAGAGCACTCTCAAAACACTATATATTGACCAAACACAAGCAGCATAGGAAATGTGTCATTTTTTGTGTGTGAAAACACTTAGTTCTTTCCATCTCTGCTTAGAAAAATACACAATATCCACACCATGGTTTTACCTCCTCCATTGTACCCAAGTGACTCCCCTCGAGATGAATGAGACATACAAGCACTCACAAGCCTCCAGTCATGCTTCAAACTTAAATGCCACTTTATGCCACTTTGTTTCCATTCTTTCTTCTCAAGAAAAAGTGTGGGGAGAATTATAATGATGTGTTTTGTGCTTGCAGCCATACAGAAAGCATTGTAACACTTATTTTCAGACTGTGTACGTGTCCTAAATGTACAGGTGTCATCGTTAAAATCTGCACGTGTTCCTTATTTTAAAGAGCCTTCTTCTCTAAACAGCGTGTTCCCTATCTCAAACCAAACTGCTTGTGGCTACTTAAGAGGTGTCTAGAGGAATAAGAAAAGAAAAGGTGGTTATCAGGAAGAACGAGTTAGTAAGCATAACAAAGCAGCTTTTGCAGCTGAGACACTGTAGACCACTATTGGATATGTCATTTTGTTCAGATAAAATGTTCCTATTGCAAGCCATACTAAAAGCTTCTCTTCCACCAGTGCTTACCCTAATCTGTCTGAAAAGCAAGTTTTTCACTGTATGTTTTGTGCCATTTTGTCGATACCAAGAATGCAAACATTTATTTCACTCTGTGGATGACCAAGAAGCCTTGTTCACATATCCCTTGAGAAGAGTATTCTGTGTATGAGAAGACACTAGCACATGTCTAGCTAACAGTCTACAAGGGTAACATCCATCTTAATACATTTTCAAAGTCTATTAAGATTTTTTAAAAGAATAGCCTCAGAATCCCACAGTTTAAAGCAATAGGGAGAAGCCAGTTCTTTTCATATGTACATTGGGATCTTGTTGTCATGAAGCACTGTGTCATGTTACACTTTAATTAAAGCTTGTACAGAAGGCTTGTCCCCATGAATACAGGCTGTCATCTTCTAGTACTGCTTTCAGTTTCAACTCCATTGTCAGACAGCTTTGTATTGTGTTAACAGAGCACATTTGCAGTAAATAAGCTCTTGCTGAATAAATTTTATAAATCTACATTAGTTCAGTTCTCAGCTAAGTTGACAAGCTGGACTGCTAGATTTTCCTGTAGAGAAGTAGCATTGTGCATATCAGTGGATAAACAGAGTTCTGTTATTCATTTCTCCCATGGCAATGTGCTTCACTAGTGAACAGCTTTCCAAGACTTTCAGATATATTTATGCATTTACTTGCAAAAGTAGCTTTGATGTGATCTCCAGGGTAGGTCATAAAGCACAAGTTATATCAAAAACACTACTGCTAAGTTATCATAGATAAAAAGAAAATGTTGACAGTGGCAAATGTTTAAGCTAATTTGACAAACATCAAATACACAAGGACATGACCACACTTGTGAACTTTCTAAATCAGGTCTGTCTTCAGCACAGAGTTCCATGCAGTGCTGGAACTTGTTGATCAAATTCTTCCTAATATGTAGGATATTGTCAGCTACACCCATTCTACAGTATCTAAATTTTTCATCTAAAGATATAGTAGTGTTCATGATGCACCACGTGATTAATTACATAATGCTGATGAGAGATTTCATTTTGAGAATACATTTTAAAGTATTCTGCTCCACGAGAATAATAAGACTGAAAGAATGCATTTTATGTGTAGTTTTTAATCCTAATGGTGTTTAAAATACAAACATATCAAGCTACACTGACCCTTGGGCAAATTATTCTATGTTCACTTGAAAAAAAAAGGCAGGAAGAAAGCCAAGACACCAGTTTTTGGTGTCTCAGGTAAGAAAAATCATGATTATGCTATTTAGGTTCATTGGTGAAGATGGTCATCATAAGTTTCACAAACACTTCTCGTTGCTTGTGGTAGTTCGTAAGTGTCTGTGCTTGTCTGTTCAAGAATGTCTTAATCCATATGCAAGGAATATTTAAACAGATGAACACTTCTGCCTCTGGAAAATCTGTGAAGCCTTTACACATTTTTCTTTGAAAAGCTCTCCAGTGAGATGCCATTTTGTCTCAAAATGAGGGTTAGAGTGATGAATACTATTCCTGCTATGTGGTCTCAACTATTTTCGACTTATTGCTGCGTCTTTTTTAACTGCTAGAAAAGTTTAATTGCTATTCTAGAACAGCATCCCTCACACACGTATTTTTATCCATTGTTTCATGGTGCTTTGAAAATTGGTTCATTATTGCTTTTTTCTTCACCTTTCCCCTTTGGAGACGATGCTTAGGCTCATCCAAAGAAGGGTGGGAGCTCCTCAAGGCCATTTAATATATTCTATTACCTTGCAAACAGAGATCACTGTTGAAGTCCTGGTGTGGAAGAAGAGATCTGTCCTGTCACAAATCTACAGGAAAAATTATCTCATTCCCATGTGATTTTGTTTTTCTACTTGTAGAACAGGATTAAAAAAAAATGGTTCTTCACCCCTCTAAAATGTTTTGAATGCCATAGATGGAAGAGATAAGCAAGTGTAAGTGTTTATCAAGTCTGGGTGCTACTTGCAGCAAACAAAACTTCTTACCAGCTAACTGGTAGTTTGATGACAGAAAAGGAAAAGAATATAAACAGGTTGCTGGAGATTAGTTTAATTAGATTTAGTTTTAGTTATTATTTAATTTTGAGGCAAGTTCAGAAGGGAAATAGTGAGGCCAGACTGCATGCTGTCACTTCCCTTTGTCTGAAGTACACCTAACCTAAGTGCTCTTGGCACTCCTGACTGACCAGAGGCAGCCCCACATAGTGTGAGTTGGAAGACTGCATCCCATCTGACGCAGGTATGTCTTGCCTCCAACTACACAAGAAGCTGTAAATTAGTAACTACCTCTGTTCACAGCATTGCATTCCACTTCTAACGTAAAGCACTTGACCCTTTAGAAGCAGCTGACAGGAAAAGGGGCACCATAGTTTTCTTTGTCTGTTTGGCAATTAACCATTCACTGGCTTTTTTTGTTGTAACATGCACTTCCTTTCTTGTTTTCATTCAAGCTTTGTGCACCATGGAAATTAATGTGGAGAAAGACAAACAGACAGGAGAGACCAAGATTGTCTCTGCTTCACCTGTTGGCCCAGATGAGGCCCATCAAAGAGGATTCAAAGTCTATGATGATGGTACCAAGGTAGTCTATGAGGTTCACTCTGGTGGCACAGTGGTAGAAAACGGAGTACATAAATTAAGCTCAAAGGACGTAGATGAACTTATGCAAAAAGCTGGACAATCAAATGTAAAAGGAGGGTATGAAATAATGACTGTGTCAGACAGAAATGCAGTAGCTGATGGAAACCTTAGCCATATGAAGGAGCAAATGCTCTTCAAGGAGGCAAAGCTGGAAATGGTACACAAACCAAACAAAGGGCATGCTGTGAGTTCCCAGCCCCAAGACAAACCCCGTGGTGGCGAAGTTCCAGAAGCCAGTGCAGATCAACCAGTGACAATGATATTTATGGGCTACCAGAGCATTGACGATGAAGAGGAGACGAAAAAAGTGCTGGGCTATGATGAAACCATCAAAGCAGAGTTGGTTCTGATCGATGAAGACGATGAGAAGTCTTTGAGAGAGAAGACAGTGACAGACATATCCACCATGGATGGGAACGCCGCTGAGCTGGTCTCTGGCAGGCCCCTGTCAGACACAACAGAGCCCTCCTCTCCTGAGGGGAAGGAAGAGAGCCTGCCCTTGGAAGCTGCCCCAGGTACACAAAAGAAAAAGCGCTGTCAATGCTGTATTGTCATGTGAACACCTTCTTCTTCCCCACTCCGGCAGCTCCTGCTCCATCACTTACCTAGACCTCATTGTTCTTCTAGCTGCAATACTGTGAACTGGAAGTGAATGCCTCCATTGCCTTGCAGTTGGGTTGCTTTGATTTCTAGTTCTTCAGGAAGAGGAACGCATGGTTATTTTCCCATCAGATGCACACTTTGGGGTTCGAGGAGTGGTTGGAGATTTTATTTTATTTTTCTCCTTAATATTGCAGAGTGAGAGATAAGTGGGAAATGGAACAAATGTTTTCATATTTATTTGATCTATACATATATATAATATATATAATGAAAACACTTTTTACATTTTCTTTGGATATCTGGCAGGCTTCATCAGTTTCCTAGGATTTCATGGGAGTCTGAATTTCACAGCAGCCAGATATGAGAGCCTTAAAGAATGTCACTTCTCTTTTTTAAGACAAAAATCACATTTAAACATTATTTTATAGATGCTACTTTTTATTTCTCAGGGGAAGACTTAGATCATTTTACTATTTTAATTTCCTAAAACTTCCTTCCTGAAAGGTTTGCATAGTTTTGTTTTATAGTAACTTTTCAGTTTAGCTTGCAGTGTCACAAAAATCCATCAGCCATTTCTGCTTATTGGTAATACCAAAAGTGGACCTTAATTATTCTTTCTAGAAAACATATGAATGATAATTTTGCCTTATATAAATCTTCCAGATTACAGTATTGTATGTGAACTTCATCTCCCCGAATTACAACAGAAGCTAACTTGACAAGAAAAAGATGCAGCTGTAACACCAAGTGAAACGGGGTTACTGATCTAATTACTTGCCTTTCAGTAACTCTGCCAATGTTATATATGAAGTTTCCTGCTGAACTCCAGTAGAGGAGAGATACTGCTTTCTATTTCCCTAGCATATAAGTAATCTTCTCTCACAATCTGACCCTGCTCGCACTGAATTCAGTGGGGAAATTCTCAGTGCTGGAAATGTGGGCAAGGCCAGATTTTTATTCTGCATTAGGAAACTGTTGTTTTTCATTGAGTGCACCTCCAGTGCACTGACGTACTGACAAGTGATGGGTCTGATCCTGCCATGCTTACCTAGCCAAAACTCCCGTGGAGGCCTACCAGAGTTTTGTTTAAGCAGCTGTTTCAGAAAGCGATCCTAGCGCCGTAAGGCTGACATTTTAAAAATGCTGGTGGTTTTGGATGCTTCACTTCCTGGTGTGGGATACTTCAGAGAGGCCTGATTTCCAGCAGATTTTTCTTCTGCCCTCTGAAAATCAGGCCTTTAAAAAAACGTCTCAAAGCTAAACTTTAAAAAGGTGAATGCATCCAAAATCAATAGATGTCTCTTTATTTCTCAGTCCATTGTTTCTTCTAACTACAACGAAAAAGCAGCCAGCTTTTTCGTGGTAAGATAATATGAGCCTGATTCTTGTCTCACATTGGTTTTGCTTAGGTGCAACTTCACTCTGGTGAAATTAGTCTGGATTTGTAACAGTAGAAGTGAGACTGAAAATCAGGATTTGTGTTTTCTGATAGTGTTAAAAATACTGAAGAGTATTTTGAAGTGTCTTTGAAACTATCAGACTTTAAAAATGAATACAACAGAAAAAAATATATTAAAAAGAAAGAAAGAAAGAAAGTAACAACAAGCCTCTTTTCATTCTGAGGTGGTTCCTATGGTATTTCTGTATTTTCTTGGATGGTGCTTTTACTGCATTAATTGTTAGTTCAGAGCATCTGATTAAACAGTTCTTGCTCTGTACTCTTTTCTTTCTGTGCCAGTAAAAAAGACACTTGCTCATTACAAAGGCACATGAGGCACACTAAAAACAGACACAAGAAAATGCAAAAGGTAGTTCCTATGTATGATCACTTAGCTGTCAATACAGAGTCGGTCAATGTAACTTTTCACCACTGCCCAGGTTACAGTAATAAAAAAAGAAAATTGGTGATTAAGAAAAGAGAGCTACACCCATCTGACACCTGCAGGAATTATGCTGGCCTCTGAATTTTGCTTCAGTGGCCTGATTTAACATGTAATAGATTTCTGCATGTTCCTCAGCCTCCTCTGGGGCTTTTGGATGAGAGAAGGACCAAATCCAGCAACAGAAACTCTGAAAATCATCACTTGACTCAGGCCTATGTGATTAACAGTTGTATCAGAGAAGAGAATGGCTGCAAGGTTGTGCACTGTGACAATTATTACTAGTGTCTGTTTGCTAGAAACTGTGTTGGAGATTAGCAACCTGTATTTTTGTTGGTTTGGAATGTTTTGGGTTCGTTGTTGGGTTGTTGGTTTTTTTGCTTTGTTGTTGTTGTTGTTGTTGTTGTTGCTGTTTTTCCAGAAATGGTAACTATTTACAAATCTCGACACTTCTTAAATCAAGGCCATGAGCTTTCAGCTCTATCACATGGCTTCATGAGGCGGTCCTCAAGTTTAGCAGACCAAGGTGTGGGTAGTTGACCCCGGGGGCTGAGCTATCCTAACTCATTCTATTACTATTCATCAGCCTGGCCGTGGTAATCCAGACCCTGACACCATCACACAGAACCATTTCAGGGCTTTTTGTGCGTTTCCAAGGAGCAATGTGAAGTCACTGCAACTTAGCTGAGGAGCACTGACCCATGCAGCTTTAGTCACGTCATCATTGCTTGCTCCAGTCCAGGCACTGTGCAATGGGGAAATAGCCAAGGCTTCAGCAGGGCATGCTTAGAACTTCAAGAATTGCAAGAACATTGTGACATAAACCAGAGGGACAGTAAAACAGTTTTTACTTCTTTTCTGCACCATGAAAGCCTCTGGAGTGTGACTCAACCTACTCAGGAGCCAGTGTGAGGCCTGCAGACATGCTTTGCAGTAGTTCTGTCATTCTGGGGCCAGCATACCTCACCTCTAAAAACATCTTCTGCATCTCTCGTCCTGGTCTGGCCAGTCATTCCCCCTCTGGGTGTGATTCTGCCTTCATGGCCACCCTGGCCTCCTCACCTCTTCCCAGGCCAAACGTTTTCCCTACCACTCTTTCCCTTACAGACATTTTCCCCACAGTCCTCTGCTCATGACACTTGGATTTGACTGAGGACATTCTCGGGTACCACTCCTTATCTGATCTGTCCATCCTTCTCTTCAGCCTTGCACTCCCCAGTCAGATGATCTTCTGGTTCAATACAGACTCAGCTTTTTGGGGATGACTCCCTTAGTGGCCAGCTTTGGGAGATGCGTGCTGAGGCTGGGACCAGAATACATCTGAGACCATGTGACATTTGAGGCACAATGTAGTAGGGAGATGGTGGCATGTAAGAGCTCAGAAGTGGCCCTTCAGTGGTTAGAAGTAGAGCACAAGCCTTAAAACTTAAACCTGCCAAATACCTACTGCTCAGTACCTGTAGCTGACATTGAGTGCCTAGGAAGGCCAGTGTTTTTTGTGTTCATATGAACTTCATGGTTCACGGGCCATGACAGATCAAAAACAAAAACCTGAAGGTGAGTTGCAAAGGGTTTGTCTTTGTTAGTCAATGGTAGTTCCATATCTGAGGTCAAGCAAAACACAAAACAAAAGCAAATCAGTCTGAACTCTGAGAGTCTTAGCTACACTGCCTGAAACATGCTTATTCCAATCATTTTCTTCTGCAAGTGCGACAGCCTTGTTGGACATCAGCTTGTCCATACTAGCCATTAGACTGCAGCCAAATTACATGGGAATTCAAGTGTGTTAGTATATGCTGATGAATGTAAACTGATTTCCAGGGCTTCTTTGAGCTTTGGAAGGCATGAATTTTTCTTCATGCCCTCAGACAGAAAGCAGCCAGTGGAAATATATGCACAATCAGATCTGAAGGAAAAGGTCCACTCTACAGTAAAGCAGAGAGAGATTTCATAAGGATCATAACGGGAGTTTTTTGTATTGTTTTGAGCAAACTCCCTGTCTGTTTATCTTATGCCATCATCTGTACATTTTCTATTTCAGCATGAAGAGATACATAAAGGTACAGTCAGAAACTGATTCAGTGTTAACATTTTGCCACAACGAACTGCTCGCCTTAATTTTTGTAAGGAAAACAAGAAAACTCTTTTCAGCATATCTTTTCCTAAACTGGAAAAAAGTAACCTATGAAACTTTTTTATATTTTGTATTTTCTAAGTTTCTATGAACCCAGTTTCCATGTTGTCCCTTGTTTTCATTCAGGGACTGTTTATTTTCAAACCACTGCATCCTACTTCTTCTTTTTTTAAATAAAAAAAACCAGAAGAAAAATACAAATCAGAAAACACAACATTAGAATTAGTGGCTAGGCAATCTCTTTCAATTACAAGAATATCAATACAGAAAGAAAAGAATTACAGGGTTATTTTCTTTTTTTATTTTCCCGTGGCTGATGTACTGTATGGTATATGTTTACAGAACTCCTTTGGTCTGCCTTTGTGATGTTATCTAAATGAATGACAAAGTAGGTATGATGTGCCATTCGACAGTTTGCCTTAGAACTCTTGGGTTTCCTTCTTTTTGTATCTTCGTTTCTTTTTTTTTTTCCCCACTTTTTTTTTTTTTCCCCCAAAAAAAGTGCAGGCTGTATTCCAAAGCTGTATAAACACAACATTATCTTTCAATCCCCAGTAAGAGAAGAGTGCACAAGCCCTTCTCCATGAAGCGAACCTGTAATGGTGCAATAAAAGTCCCCCGTCCTGCAAACAGAAACACATATGTCTAACCCCAGTGTACGTAGGCCTATTTCAGTCAACAGGACTACTCATGGGGGGAGCGTGTGTGTAGATGTCTGCAAGACCAGGGCATGAGTGATTAATACAGGGTGTAGTTTGGGTGTTATTTGGGTACCTGCACCACTTTCATACATGCTGAGTTTGCCCAGAACGGTCTAAACCTAGAGGCAAACTCTGAGTGTTGCTACTTCTGCTAAGAAAAACATAAAGCAAGATGGTGCTGAGCATCCAGTGGGATC